AGCCACCATATAGCCTCAAACACGCATCTAGAGCAGTGTTTCCCAACCTGTGTATGTGCATCTCAGAAGCCTGAGAACATTTATAGCAATCACGGATAGTTCAGTTCCTGATATGGATTGTTGCTTCTCCTTTGGTGAGCTAGACTAAAATAAAAATAAGAATAGTTATGCAATGTTGATAAAACAGTATCATTTGTACAATTGCAGCATTCTGCTGCGGTGTGGCTTAGACTTCCCCAGAATTTCTGTTGCTGCAAACAGATTTTCGGCTCTTGTTCTGGAGCACAGCCTAAATTCAGGAGAAATGAGGGAGGTCAAATGAATGGCAAATTGAAGGATTTTTCATGTTTCAAAGGTCCCAAGTCACCTTGAAATTTGATTTGGAGATTGGGATAATCCCTAGAAAAGGGAGTTCCTGTCTGTGACAATGTAAAGGAATATCCTTTAAGGAACAAGCCCTCACAGCTATAAACCATATTTGAAAAAGGACAATTATGCCTTTAAAGAAATGACATATAACCTAGATGATATTTTGGTAGAAGAAAAAGTCCATTCTGTTACACAAGCCAAAGTTTATCGTACTTTTAAAGCTGAAAATTGTCCTGTCTGAAGATGTAGAAAATGGAGATACTTACCGGAATAAGTAGACTGATGGCCTAGGGAAAGAACAAAAATCTGTTGAGCTACTTGGACACAGGTTAACAAAAACAAACAAAAAGAGACCTATCAGGTTTCTTCTTAGTTAGGGAGGGTTGACTATTCTCAGAGCACCTAATGGACCACGTAATAAAAAGCAAGTAGGCAACACAGGATCATTTGAAACTTGGTTTGGGAGCAAAATCTAACTTAGCAGCAAGATCAGGAATGTATTGGATCAATAGATTTAAACTGGTGATGATGAACATACTGGCTTCTGGCATGAACTTGGGAGAAGCCAGGATTTTATTTTTTGTGGGGATAAAATGAAAAGGGATCTTGTGCAAGCTCCTTTGACCTTTTGGAGGAAAGGCAGGATATAAATCTAGCAAGATAAATAAAAATGGATCTGTTCAGAATCTCCCATCCTTCAACTTCAAGGCACAACTCCACACTTTAGTGTTCTGAGAAGGAGAGCAGATTCTCCTAATTCACCTTCTCCATTCTGTATTGATCTTGTTCTAAGCCACGAACATTATAAACTTTTACTGCCAGGGAGTTGCACTGATTCTATAATATCCCTTTCTTCACTTTCTTCATGTTGCAATTATCTTTTTTGAAGTGTGATGACCTGCACTGTAGATTTGGTGGGAGGGTGGGCATTTTTGGTGTGGTAATGCTTTTGTGAAGACAGTATTATAATGATCTTTAGATTTTTCATTCCTTTCTCAATTATTCTCAACATGGAATATTCTTTTTTCACACCAGCTGGGTTAGTATTTCATCTGGTTACTTACCGTAATCCTAAGATCTAAGAAGGCCAACTATGTATATAAGACGTTGGGATTGTCTTGTCCAAATGTGAACTACTTCATACCTGCTAACCCTGAACAGTATTTACAGTCAGGTCCAGAAATATTGGGACATCGACACAATTCTAACATCTTTGGCTCTATACACCACCACAATGGATTTGGAATGAAACAAACACATTCTGGAACAACATCCTATGGACAGATGAGACCAAGATCAACTTGTACCAGAGTGATGGGAAGAGAAGAGTATGGAGAAGGAAAGGAACTGCTCATGATCCTAAGCATACCACCTCATCAGTGAAGCATGGTGGTGGTAGTGTCATGGCGTGGGCATGTATGGCTGCCAATGGAACTGGTTCTCTTGTATTTATTATGAATTCTGCAGTGTTTCGGGCAATATTATCTGCTCACATTCAGTTCTGGAACAACATCCTATGGACAGATGAGACCAAGATCAACTTGTACCAGAGTGATGGGAAGAGAAGAGTATGGAGAAGGAAAGGAACTGCTCATGATCCTAAGCATACCACCTCATCAGTGAAGCATGGTGGTGGTAGTGTCATGGCGTGGGCATGTATGGCTGCCAATGGAACTGGTTCTCTTGTATTTATTATGAATTCTGCAGTGTTTCGGGCAATATTATCTGCTCACATTCAGTTCTGGAACAACATCCTATGGACAGATGAGACCAAGATCAACTTGTACCAGAGTGATGGGAAGAGAAGAGTATGGAGAAGGAAAGGAACTGCTCATGATCCTAAGCATACCACCTCATCAGTGAAGCATGGTGGTGGTAGTGTCATGGCGTGGGCATGTATGGCTGCCAATGGAACTGGTTCTCTTGTATTTATTATGAATTCTGCAGTGTTTCGGGCAATATTATCTGCTCACATTCAGTTCTGGAACAACATCCTATGGACAGATGAGACCAAGATCAACTTGTACCAGAGTGATGGGAAGAGAAGAGTATGGAGAAGGAAAGGAACTGCTCATGATCCTAAGCATACCACCTCATCAGTGAAGCATGGTGGTGGTAGTGTCATGGCGTGGGCATGTATGGCTGCCAATGGAACTGGTTCTCTTGTATTTATTATGAATTCTGCAGTGTTTCGGGCAATATTATCTGCTCACATTCAGTTGTGGTGGTGTATAGAGCCAAAGTTGTTAGAATTGTGTCGATGTCCCAATATTTCTGGACCTGACTGTATATTTTAATATTTAATTCCTCAGTTCAGAAAGTTCTTTCTGGAGCTCCAAGTAAAAGGATAGAGCCAATGCCTCATCTGAAACTCCAGATAATTTAGGAACAGCTTCAGTCAGCATGACGCTACTATCCACTGCAAGAATATCCATTCACTTTTCACCTTTTGACCACTAAGCTTGCTCAGAAGTCTTTGGTGAGAGATTTTTCTCAAAGTCAAGTCTGCATTATCAAAATCAAGTGTTTATTATACAAAAATAATAAACACTATTTACCCTCTGTATTCATGTTTTTGGTTATTCTTAAAGGCCAAATCATTTGTCCAATATTGATTCTTCAGCAAGAGAATCCTCCATTTAGAGACCTGGTAATTCTCTCTTTGAGAACACTTTCCACTAATATATCCCATACAATTTCCTGGATCCTTTTTGAAAAAGTTAAGTTCCAAACATTAGTCCTCCCTTAGAGAAGCCCATCTCAGGAACATATTATGTATTTTGCTAGTTCTGTATCTAGACCTAAATTTCATCAGCACCATTTGCCAGGGCTCTTCAGATTCCCTTGCTGGATATCTCAATTCAGATGACAGATAGAAATAATTCATTCAAATTATTTGACATTCTTTATAGTCTGTTGTTATCCAATCAGCCCTACTGCCAGTTTCTTATATGTGGTGTTCAGATCAATTTTTTAAATTGTTGGCCTCAAAGTTACTTGTAATACATTTCTCAGAATTCTTCACATTCCTTATTTCTTGAACTCCACCAACTTGGTTCAGCAATTTTTCCATACATGTCTCATTTCTTCATTTCATTTGACTGGGGCCTTTTTCTGTCCAGCTAGACATCAAAAATGTTTTCCCCATGGAAGGCTCCCCAGTTTCAGGGTTGTTTAAAAGCTCCTCAGTTACTCGATCTGTGAAATGCCCCAAAGGGTGAGCTGCTATCTTAACAATGAGAGTAGAAACAATAGGACTGGTTCCTCTGTAATCTTCCCAGAGAGGCACCCTAGAACCAGGTTTTTCTTAGGAAAGCCCATTTTTGCTCTCCAAAATGATGTAGGTGATTGTCTCCACTCTGCTGAGATGCACATTCACACAGCTTGAATCCTGCCTTGCAAAGCTTATGAGAACATTTACTATTAGTTATTATGAGTGTAAGCAACTGTAACTGGGGAATGTTCCTGCTCAGAGTTCCAGCTTTCAGCCACGCCGCCTTCCCAGAGAGACTCCATTCCAGCTCCAACATCCAGTTCTCTCTGACCTTAGTGTTTTGTCACTTCTGAGCATATCAGGCCTTATTAAAATGTTTACATTCTTTTATCATTCCTGCTTCAAAAAAGTGTTTGTTTGAATGAGATCCAGTAGACCTCGTTTGGAACTCGGGGTTTAAAAACTTTGTTTCAAATCCAGACCATGGTTAGGATTTCATATGTAGTCTAGGGCAATTTTTACAAATGCTTTTACAAAGCATTTTCACCATGAAGCCATTAGTAAGAGAGCATGGTGGCAAAGTTTGAATGGTGAGTCAAGATAACTCAGTTTCAAGTCTCCTCTACCAGGAGGACTCTCTAGATGATTATAGCAAGCTCCTTTTTCTCTGATTCCATCAGCAATATGGGCAGAATATTGATCTAGTTTGCTTGGCTATAATATGACTGAGATGATGTATGAGATATGCTTTGAAATCCTTTATTCAGCAACAGCAACAGGCAATAGGATGCGTTCTGTCTATTAAGGAAAGCCAAGCTGGGGAAGCACACTGACTGCAGTTGGACTGCAAAGCAGCAGCGAGAGATGTGTGAGCTGGTTTCCCTTTACGTCGGCAGGGTTGTCTGTATGCACACGCTATAAGAGGCCATTGCCTATTAATGGAACAATTCCCTGTTAAACAAAGAGCTGGAGAAATTTTATGATCAAGTTTGCAGAGAGGCATGGGAGGATGGAGCCCCCCTATGGCATCACTAGTGGCCCCAACTCAAATCTGACCTGTAGGGTTTAGCCTATGGAGCTCCAGTTCCATTGGAGGGGAGAGGGGAGAGGGTAGGTTTTGACTCTTCACTGAAGCAGAATGTGCTGGTGACTGTTGGGAAATAGAAGGGAAACGGCTGTGGCCAGGAATCCTTACGTAGACCATCTCAGAAGACTTTCCCTAAAAGTCCAAGAAAACATCGCCACAAAAACCCTCACATGCTACAAAGTAAGGTATTGTTTAAATAATTCACTCTATTTTATTATTTTCCTTTAAAATAGTTTAAACTTTATGCTACAGACTTGTTTCAAAAAACAAAACAAAAAACCCAGAAAGTCTCATCTTGTGCATATGCATATATATATATATACATATATATATGCATATATATACATATACACATATATTCACATATATATATATTCAATATCACTCTATTTTTTTTCTCCAAAGACCATTAAATACTACATGGAGAGAAGAATGTGTGTTAAAAAGAACTTTTCATGTGTGTTTTTGACTTTTTAAACTCAGCAGTTACACAATTGAAAACAAATTCTAGCTTTTCCCCCCCATCTTCCTTATGGAAGATGTGCTGTTAAAACCAGGCCTGCCAAGAAAATTAGAAGCCCGACAGCCTGGTGCTGCAGCATGCCAAATGCTTATAGTGAAATCAGTTTTTGCAGCCCAAATGCCAACTTTACTGAAGGTTCAGATGACAGCAAACCCAAAGTGGGCATGCTGTGCTAAAATTATCAAGTGCATTGATTCTTAACCATACAATGGCTACAATCTCACTTTTCAATAGAGCAAAAGGCAAATCAAAACAGGTTGTTCTGCCAAAATAAAATAAAATAAAAATAGCAAAAATAAAAATCAAACTCCTAATTCTTTAGCTATCCAGTGATTGTATTTTTTTTTCTTCCTGCTCTTTCTTTTTAAAAAGATTACTTTTTAAAATTCTTCAAGTGAGAAAAAATGTAGTGTTTTTAATTAAAAAAAGAGAGGAAAAACTGGTTACCAAGCTAAAAACCTCATGATTCCTTTAGAACAAACACAGTGCGCAATTGGAAGAAGTTTGGTTAGAATGCAGTCAAATTTTTATATATACATGGAAGTCACAGCAAATACAAACTAAAAAATAGCTTTTCTTCCTCTTCATTTTAAAGGACAATCCACCAGTATGCTCCTCTGATGCTTCTGGTACTGGCCAACATGAAGAGACTAAATACTGGATTTATTCGATCAGTAGATCAGTTTTCCTTACCAAACCAAACCAAACCAAACCAAACCAAACCAAACCACCCCGTCTTTTCTGTTTTGAAAAGAAACTCAATTAAAAGTAGCACAAAGCAGCTGCTCTAGGTTAAATTCCACTTGTCCCATCTTCACAGGCACCTCCATCAGATCTGCTTCCCCCATTATGCAGTTTCATGCTATTACCGTTTGAGTGAGAAAGCTGAAAGCGTGCAGGTAGACCGAACTGCAGTACGGTAGATCTCCCTTCTCTGGGGCGACCTTCTTTTCAGCCATGGTGACAGTCAAGTGGGGAAGAACCAAATGCTCTGTTATGTCCTCATTAGAGCCATGCTACCTCACACATGCCCCACAGTCTTATGGGATACCACCCTAGCTAGGGAGTGAGAAACATCCTCAGTCTGATGTTTCCATGTGGAAACATGGATTGTTTTGTTTTCTGGATTGTTTTCTGATAAGATGTGGAACCAGCATTTGAGAGAAAAAGAAAAGATGGCTCTTTGGCTTGGAAGCACCTGATCTGCACACACTGCTGGTTGCCTTAAGAACCACAAGATGAAGGATAAGCATGAGCAACAAGTAGTCTTTCAGATGTTGTGCCATTAGTGTGGGATTATGAGAACTGCACTTGAGCAATATCTGGAGAGCTGCATGCTGCATCCCTGGTGAAGGCCAGTGTCTCTTCTGACTGGTGGGCATAAATACCCTTCTGCCCTACTTGTTGTAGGAAATAAGACTCAAGTTTCACAAGGTGTCAATGCCTGATTAAAGAGATACTCTTCCCTAAGTCAAGAGATGCAGTATTGCAATTCTTCCCAAACTATTTACTTTATAGGTCTTATTACATCCTGAAATCAACTAGGGGGTTCCAGTGTAGGGTGGGTTTTTTTCCACAAGAAGCATGGTTTTCTGACTGTATGTGTGCTGGGGGATTGTTAGCACAGCAGTGCATTCAGAGGAACAATTCTTCCACTTACAATCTGATACAAGGCCTCACCACATCAGGGTTGTTGAAGCAAAAGGTGCCACCTCAAGATCAGAACCCAGCAATTCTAAGGGCCTCCATACAATGACTGTATAGGCAACCAGGAAGATTGCAACCTGTTTTTTCCACAGCTAGAGGTTCTTAGCCACCTGTAGCTGTCAGTCAGGTCCAAATCCACTTTGTGTTAAATGTGGACAGATAAAACTTACAGTTCTGTAAGGGGTTGGTTATTCATTTGCCCTTTTAAGGATGAATGAACCTCTCTGAATTTCTACATCCAGCAGCTTTCACCCATCCATTTTGCTCAGCTGAACCTAACACAAGTAACGGAATTTTTAACTGAATAGACTTGTGCAAATTTACATTCAATGGCCTGGATCTACCTGGGGGTGCATGTTTTAGCTCATACTTTTGCAAGCAGCAGAAGACAAGATGTTCTAGGATCTTTTTTTCACCTGAGCGAATGTAGCTCCTCTTACAATTCTTTACCAGCTAAGCTTGCAGGGGAGTTCTTCCTAACTTGTGAGCCTCACCATTCTAGCGGGGTGGATGCAGGGAAGAGAGGAAGCTCTCTTTTATGCTACTATTCTCAGTATATGCAGAGGTTTGGTCCAGTGACCATCACTTGCTCTCCCCAAGAAAAGGCCAGTTTCTGAGGACACTTCAAATAATTGAAATCACTCCACGAACCTCTTGGTCATGCATGCAAGCTATCAGGAGATTCAAGAAGTTTCAGGGGTCAAGGATGTTATATTTGTGTGTTACTGAGATGTTTCCTGACACCTGCAAGCATGTGAGGCCAGCTTGTCCAATGACACCAGCACTTAGGCACAGAATAAATGCCTGTATTATCCCCCTGATGGAATGAGGATGATATCATCATGCAGCAAAGATTAAATCCTGCAGAAGACAACTGAGCATCAGGCCCAGAAGAGTTTCTAAAAGCAAGTTGCATCATTCTTAATTGGTGGTGAAATCCAGTACAGTTTAAATAAGAACTCAAAAGAAGATCCAAGAGTTGAAGGGACTTGAGTAAAATTAAAGTGGCATTTCTCATGTTATACTTTAAAAGCAAATGTACAAGTAAGCTGCATGCCATTTCTGAAGGGGTGTAGAAGTGAACACCCCTTCCTTCCTCTGGTTATCTATTTGCGTAACTGACACATCCAGCAAAACCATTGAGAAAACATTCAGATTCATATAGGCAAAATAGTGCTGGACGTTCCTGCATTGGTGCCGTAGCACGGCATACCTTAATTTTATTCAGATGTGCTATGCATGCAGGGCTGTGTGTCTCCCCTCTTCTTCTCCTTAGCTTCAATTTACAGTCAGCTACCCTGAGAAGGAACGGAGCTGAGCCCCCTCTGGTCATGGAAGAGAAAAATTCTTGGAAGAAGAGTTTGTGCTTAGCATCTCCAAATCCCACTAATGTTTCTCAGCAAGAACAGAAAGGGAAGCAAGTGACTTTTTAATGGCTTGTTTCAACCTTTTGTGTGAAGGCAGTTCAAGCTCCTCTAGTTCTCACATTCTACATTCATGTATCTACAACCCCACAGTTATGGGATTATGGCTACAACCCTGACTTTTCAAGCTGTCTATGAAAAGCACACCTGAGATCAGAAATGAGGTACTGATGCCTTTGTTCCTTGTGCTTGTTCTTTTCAAAAGAAAAAGGATGTAACAAGCCAAGCCAAATGACCAGTAGGAATACAGTAGTACAGGAAAAAAATAATGATAAAAGGCATTATTCTAAAACTCAGATCTGAGCCCTGGGGGAGACCCAAGTGCAGCTGAAAATTATCTTCTGAATTTTAAATGAAGCTGCTCAGTGTACATTGTTGGCCTTTTGTGAACGAGCCTTGGTCCTTCTGTAACCAAATCCATTTGCCACCTGGAGGCCCCTGGTCCTGACTCAATGCTTGTCAGCTCCCCCAATTAAGCTACAATCACAATGAGGATACTCAGAACCAGGAGCCTGCCAGGCCAGCAGTGTTTTTAATGCTTACACTGCAAGAGAGAAAGGAAATAAAGCCCCAAAGGTACCAGCAACATCTGCTTTAGTGGTGAATTTAAGCAACTGTATAGCTCTCTCTACAGGGTGTGACTGAGAAGGTATCATGGCTCCCATCAACAAACGCTCTAATTGAAATACACACAGTTAAAAACTTGGAAGCTGTCTCTGAAGTTCAGTGTGCTATGTTTTCCACAAAAGGAAAGCTCCCTTCGGAAACTTCGGATATGACATTGCAATTCTAATGGTGAGAGGGGGCAGAGGCAGAGGAGGAAACTCTCCCAAAGGAGTCTGACTTCCAGAACACCAGGAGCAGATGCTTTGGACACCAAGGCAATATCCAGAAACTTCTGTGCCACAAAAGGGAAAGGACTAAATAACTAAAAACACAGTGAAATTGCATTACAGTAAGTATTTCCGTCTGCTGTCCTCATCAAGCGTGAGATCTACCACTTCGGGTGGCGAAGACCAATTCTGTGGAGGGGCCACGCCTGTCCATGCTTCTGATTGCCGGGTGCACTGCAGACCTGAGCCATGTTTCCGCGAAGACACACTCTGAATCACTCCTCCACGAGGATGGACATATCTGAGATAAAAGCAAAGAAAGAAACATTCTTGAACATGTCCTTGTACAAATGCGGGTTATAGCTCACTCACAGGCAGTGCTGCTTTGACAAGAACCATCTGTAATGCACGCCCAAGCAGGAAGAGGGAGGTGACAAAGTTGAGAAAAACACTGGCTTGTTTTGGTTAAACCAGTCAACCTGATGGCCCTCCATTATGTTCTGGGGTGACACTTGTCGTTTCCAAAAGCCATGCTGGCAGACAAGAACGGAAGTCACCAGGTGGGAAGGCTAGGTCAAACTATAAAGGAGGCAGATATGAAAATGACATGAGCCAACAGCCATCCCAGAGCGGTTGCTTGAATGACCCTCAGAATTTATGCAGTCATATTACTTTCATTCATATTATTGCATGAACTGATACGATAGTCCATCAAAGCTAATGTTACAATCTCCACATTACTGGGGTGGGGGGTGAGGCTGTAAGGAAGAGAGAACAGTGGCTAGTCTACAAGTTAATGAGTTTTACACAAAATCTTGGGAATTGAAAGAGACCATGGAAAACATTGGATCACTGTAAGGATATTTACAGAAATGATACTCGTGTTTGCCCAAAGTATTAACAATATGGAGGACATATTTCTATCAATACTTTCAGAACCTTAGAGCATCACTAACAGGAAAGAGGATATGACAGCAATGCATAGATTTCACATTTCATGCAATGGTCCCCCAAGTTCATTAAATTAGAAGTAGGCTCAGTGATAACAACAACTGAGCCCAATGGAACCACTCCCAAATTTGCTTAGTTCAGACCAATAATATACATACATATAACGTCATGTATGACTTGACCCTCTCCGAGCCCCTTCATCTTTTATAAGGGCACTGCAGTATTTTCAACTACCTGCCTTTATCCCTTTCTGTTAGCTTTGGAGGCTTGTTAAAACATCTGAGAAAAGCTTCTACTTCCTCATTCCCCAGGAGTCCTTTAGTATTTAAAGGTTAAGGTTGAGATTGTTGGCAGGACACTCAACCAGAATTCACTGCATCCTATCAAAGGCTGGAATATCCTGCAGGATAACCAAAGGCTGCCCTTCTAGGCTGAACATCTGCCTTTGATTCAGACCTCTCCTCTCAAGAAAGAGCACTTGAGGAGAAAGGTCCTTCTCTTGTTAACCTTTAATGGTTAAGACCTGGTATGGGGAGAATGAACACAATTCTGCAAGTTTGGCTTTAACTGAAAACTAAGGAATATTTGTCTTGGCACCTGTGTTCATAGAGTTCTTCACTTTTGTTGCTCGCCTTCCCTTTTGGCAGCTCATTGGTTTTCTCTGCCTTCATCTCACTTCTCCCTATGACTGGAATTCTTTGTCCCCCTGCTGCTTGAGACACTTCATTCCTGTTTCAAAAAAAGATCTCTTTACTTCTTGTACTTCTCCCCTTTAGGCTTACTCTGCTTTGACTTTATGTAAGAATGAGGTTTAAGCAGCTTGTCACAATCATCATGCACTTTTATGAGCTCTTGATGCTTGCCCCAGCATTACGTGTTTTAAAAAATGCTATATAAATACTGTTTATATATCTGAAAGTAATCGGAAAAGAATCAAGCCATCTGCGGGCAACAAAAATATAATCCAAACAGCCTACATTCTTCATTTTGAAAACTTATTCCAGCTACTTAATTACAGTCAGAGTTAAAAACCAGAAGCAAGCAGAAAAATTTAATGAGCACCTTGCATGCTCCTGAACCCCCACAATCTCCACTTCGCTATCAGACGAAGCAACGTTAATTTCTTTGTTAACCTGGGCGTGGCTGGTGGGGAGTTTGTCGCTTGCCAGGAATTCAGCATCCAAGTGATCTGCAGGAGAGAAAGCAAAAGGCATCACACGGTCAAAGACTCAGCAACTGGAACAGCTTTACCATTCAGGTAAACCAAAGATCCTGCTCATCACAGCTCAGCTGCAGACCCCAAGGCGTAGTTTTAAAACAGTAAAAAACAAGCTCCCCAGTGGGGTATCCTAACTTTTATCACACACATAGTTACATCATCATCATCATGACCACCATTATATACTTTTATCCTGCCTTTTTTATATATTTATCAAGGTAGCAAAAATACCTAACACAGGTAGTCCTCAGGTTACGGCGGCTACTGGGACCAGGATTGCCATTGCTAAGCCATGAGGTCATAAAACACAATGTCATGTGACTGCATTGCTTAGTGACGACAATCCTGGCAGTTCCGGTTGCCGTTGTAACCCCAAGACGCGTAGGTCGTTAAGCGGAGAGCAGTGGGAGTCTCAGATGAAGAGCACGGGTGGGTGGGGAGGTGCCGGGTTGCCATGGGGAGGTGGTAGGGAGGCCAGGGGAGGGCCTGGGAGGGCCGGTGGAGGCTGTGCATGGGTGGGGTGTGTGTGCTCTGTGTACTATGGGCAGGAGAAGAAGCGGGAGCAACTTACCGGAGTGACTTGTAACCTTCTCTGCCGGCTTCTCCATTGAATTTGCTTGTAGGAAGCCGGCAGGGAAGGTTGCAAATGGCGATCACATGACCATCGACTCCCTGCTGTGATGGCCAGAATGTCGAGAACCAGTTGTATGTCCATTTCTTCAGTGCCGTTGTAACTCTGAACGGTTGCTGAACCAATGGACATAAGCCGAGGACTACCTGTATACCCACCTCATATTTTCCCCACAGCAACAGCCCTGTGAGGTGGGTTGGGCTGAGAGAGAATGACTGGCTGAAGTCACCCAGCTGGCTTGTGTGCCTAACGGAGGCCTAGAACTCACAGTCTCCTGGTTTCTAGGCCAGCACCTTCACCACTACACCATGCTGGTTCTGTGATGGACTGGAATGGTAGGAGGGGAGTAAAGAATGTGCTCACATCTCCAGAGGAGCGAGGAAGAGATAAGTGGAGGAGATTGGCA